CCCACGGCACAGAAATGTAACGCCTGAGCACAGCTTTTGCAGAGCAGATGTGAGACTCATGAGCAAATCTGCTGAAAACACGAGCACAGGACATACCTGCTCCCCAGTGCCCACCCAGGTGTGCTCAGGGGGTACTGCTGAGCTGACTAAGCAGAATCACTCGGTACAATCGACTCACCTCTTCTCATGCTCTTAATTTATACTGTGGGTAATTCTACTTTTACCCTGGTAAACAAGTTTCTGGATATGGTTAAGCTACTCAGAGTGTACATTTAAAATAAAATCTGTTTCACATAAAAGGACAAATGAGAATGACTATTACCCCCATCTTTAATGTGCTAAATTCTTTTGCACAGATTGTTCTTGTTACTACTTCTTTCTGAGAGGGAATCTGAACAGCAGACAATATTCTTCCTTACGTGGACAATTCCAGCAAGCCAAGAGCAGGAGGCTTTTAAGTGGGAATGCAATGATTTTAAACCCCCTTTTTTGTAACCCACTCACTCAATAACAGTTGGGTCTTAGGCCACAAAGGGAGGAAGAGCAGCAGAGGGAAGGACATTCTTCTGAAGGCCAGATCTGCAAGATGCTGATCATCTACAACTTTAATTACAAGCTGCTAAAATTCAGAGATCCACCACGTAACCTACAGAGCCCCACAGCACCCAGAGAGCTTTAAGGCCAGAAAATGCAGCTCACGCTCTAAGGGAGCCACAGCACCAGCTTTGAAACTGGTCTTAAGCAGGTGCTGGACCAGGACTCAGTGCTGCTGGGAACTGGTGCCACACTCAAAGTTTTTCCCTGGATTACCTGTGCAGTTGCAGTGGTGCCTTTTCTGCAGCCAAATGCTGCTCACACTCAAACTCTCCACTCCCACAGGCAGTTGCAGAACATTTAACACAGATGGAATGTGGATCTGCAGATCCAGGTGGAAGAATCCAGTGAATTTCTTCCACTGGGGTTTATCAATACTCCAAATCATAAGGACAGGGTTTTTTGAAACCTGCAATCACATTCTTAATTTAAAACCAGACATCTGAATACTCTGTGCAATAAGTAACTTTCCTATACTACTGACTCCAATACTTATGGTGCAGAGAAAGTCTAATCATGAAAATGTGAATCATGTTCTGCATTCCATGCTCTACCATGGACTGTGGGGACAGCCCAGACCACAGGTTCTCTCTGCCCCCATCTCCTACCTGTGAAAGGGGAACAGGAGCAGTTCCCTTTCTCTAGTGAACGTTTATCACAACAATATTTAACACCACAGGAATGCAGGGGAGAAGGGGCAGTGTAGGTTTGCAGCTGCCATGACTTGGGCCATCAGGAGGTGAAGACAGAGCAGGTCGACCAAGTTTTCTTCTCTCCAAATAGTTTATGGTACAGGAAAACCTCTGTACAGCTCCATACAACACGTCAGGCACAGGGCCAGAGTCAGACACCCAATTACAGCCAGCACCTCTTCCTTCTTCTTTTTTTCAGGAGAAAAAAGGGGAGGAAAAAAAAAAAAAGACACACTTGTGTAGAATACAACCACAATTTGAAAAACAAGAGCACTGGCATCCTCTGGTAAAGCCTAGGCTGAAAACTTATCCCAGGATGCGTGCTCTTCCAAAAATCTGCCAACCCCTGCAGCGTTCAAACTTCTTGTATGACCACAGCCACATGAAGAATGAAATGAAACCCCACGGAAATCTTTGACATTTCTACTATTATGCAATGTTTGGGTGAAAAAAAAAAAAATTGCTGAAATTCTCCTTCCCCTTCCAGAGTGAGTTTAGAAAAACTATTTCTAGCTTTTTTTAATTACACATTTCACCATTAAAAAGAAACCATCCATAAATTAAAAGAACCACTAACTAGGGCTTATGTAACCCATTTAGAGTGGGAAATTGGTAACACTTGGGAGCAAAGTCTGTTCCTGTAATTTCTGGAGTCTACACCATTCATTTGATGTGTGCAAACATCACAAAAATTGTTTATTTAATATTTGCATTAACTATTTTATACAAAAAAAAGTTAATAATGAAAAAGGGCATCTGTGTCCAATGGAATCTAAAATAAACACTTTTATAGATGTTTAATGATCTGAGGGAGAGTTTATCACTGCTTTCATTAAATAGTCTCCCAAGTCAGAGATTTACTTTACCCAATTCCATTTTTAATTTTCTTTTTTTTTTTTTTAAGTGTTTATGGCTCTATCACATTTTTGGTAGAAAACTGTTGTACTGTGTTCGTAATCAACATTATGGACACTTCCCCAGTGGACAATATTCCATGTTAAACTCCTGCCTCTCCCCCATTTCTGACCCCGTGTTGGGGCAGCCAGCCCTGGCCCTGGGACTGCTCTTGTGTCGAGCCAGTCACTTAATCAAATGTTCAAGTGATGAGAACATTCCAAAAATAGCTGTTCCTATTGCATCATTGCTGTTCCAAGAGCTGCAAATATCTATGTTTCAAATGAAAGACTTTCTCCTAACTCACAGCAGTGGGTACCAGCAGGAACGACCCCCTTAAGACTCTTAGAAATCTGAATTTAAGGAAGCAGCTCTACACTGATCAGCACAAAACACTGCTCGTGCCTTGGATATGCATTTCCCACACAAACAAATTAAAGGGCCACAATGCAGCTTGCCCTACATCCTGACAATTCCATCTGCACACATCTGGGACTGATCATGCCACGGCTAACCAGGTGCATCATACATGGATGAAGTAAAGAAGTTGCATAAAATTTATTTTTCCACCTTGTTTTACAACATTCCCTTTTAAGTTCTTACACATCTGCAACATATAACTCCACAGAACAATAAATAATTGGCATTCATATTTCTCTTGACTCAAGAGTATTTACACGTTGTTTAACTAGATGACAGGTACAAAACATCGGCATCACAGTAAATACCATTTTGACACCAGAATCCATTTCCCCATTAAAAATTAAATTAACTTAACATTGATTTTTTTAAACAATTTTAACAATTAAAAATGTTCTCAAAGGCATATAAGTACACAAGTTGTCGTAGGCAGTAGTAATGGACCATATTGGCAAAGCTGTAAAACCCAGGATCTCATGCAAATCATAGTTTAATACTTATGAAATAAGTATATAATAAGTATAATACTTATAAATAACTAATAATAAATAAAAGAGCCCATCCAGCTCATGCTGAAGTGGGCACTGGACTGGCCCCAGCAATTGTGGAGATGAACCCAATCCCATGGGAACAGTTCCTTGCACAGACCTCAGGACAGTGAGCCCCCATCCCTGGTTCAGGGCACTACTTTGCAAACCAGGGATTTATCACCATCAGAGGCTGCAGCAGCTTTCCTCAACAGCTAAAGCCAAAAGAGCAGCTTTAGGGATTCACACACTTGGCTCTCTGGGGCTCCCTGACAAACCCAGCTCAACTACAGCAAAACTCCCCCCAGCAACTACAGAGGATGAGGGAGGCTGTCCTGGCGTTTCACTGTGAGACAGGAGACCACAGAGAAACACCCTTGGTGCTGCTCAATTTGGCCCAGCCACAGCTACAGCCCTCAGTGCACAGTTCTCAACCCCAAGGGGACACCAGGGATGTCACTCATCGCTCCTCAGCCCACTTCTGATAAGACCCTGCACATATTTAAGCTGCTGCTGTTGAATAAAGAACGTTGTGTTTCCATTGTGCCTTGAGCTGAGTGAAATGAATGTTTGCACAGATGAACAGGACCAGCTCTATGGAGAAAACAAATGCAGAGAGAAAGGGGGGAAAAAAGGGATGAAGAGGGCTGTGACATGTGGAATTATTGCAGAAAGGCAAGAAGAAAACAGTTTGTGTCAGAAAACCTACACATTAATTTACTACCACACAGAGCACTGGCTTCCCTACAGCAGGGAAGCAGGAGCACAAGGTGGGACACACACCCAACCCTACAGCATCACCTGGAGCCATGGGAAGCAGGAGAACAAGGTGGGACACACACCCAACCCTACAGCATCACCTGGAGCCATGGGAAGCAGGAGCACAAGGTGGAACAACACCCAACCCTACAGCATCACCTGGAGCACAGTCCCAAAGCACAAGAGTTAAATATGAACTGCTACATAAACCAGACAAATAAAGGAATAGTAAGAACACTAAGGCTACAAAACAGATACTATAGAGAAGAAGAAAACAATGCTTCACTCTCAGAAAGTACAAATTATGAGCCTACTAGAGGAAAAGATTAAATTTCCAGAAGAGAATCCATTTATTCCAATGTACAGTAAATATGAACATACATATTAAACTTTGCTTTTAAAAAATTTTTAAATAACTTAAGAGAAATAGATTGCAAACATAAAGTGCTAAACTTGAAAAATAGAAGCATTCCTCTTTCCTGCTGTTTCTTAGATGGCAGTTTTAGTTTTCTGATTGCTTTTAAAAATTCAGTGTGTATCCAGACAGCAATTACTTCCTGGATTTACAACCTTGTGCAAAAACACAAGCTGCAAAGGAACATAATCTGCACCCCAAAACACAGCTATGGATCATTATCAACTCCACTAAATGTGTGTTATTAAAGTTATGATTCAATAAATACAAATGAAATCACAATTCACTCCCTTTCTTGGTGTGAGCTAATAGTTTGCAAATATGGTCCACTCAGTGTAAACTGTATTGACTTCAGGAAACAGTGAATTCTACCATATTTACACACAGTAGCATGGCACTGTTGTTGCTGCAGGATGTTTGACCACTAACACACGTGAGAAGGGACAGGGCTCGACACCGACGGGTGCTGAGGGTGTTCACCAATAGCCACAGGGACTGGACTGCTCAGTCACACATTAGGCCAAAAGAAATTCTTGGTTCTTGTACTTAAACCTACTTAAATTAGACTGAATGTTAGGAAGAAATTGTTCCCTGTGAGGGTGAAGAGGCCCTGGCACAGGCTGCCCAGAGAAGCTGTGGCTGCCCCATCCCTGGAAGTGTCCAAGGCCAGGCTGGACGGGGCTTGGAGCAACCTGGGCTAGTGGAAGGTGGCCCTGCCCATGGCAAGGGGTGGGACTGGATGAGCTTTAAGGTCCCTCCCAACCCAAACCATTCTGTGATTTTGTGATTCTGTGAAATGCTGCCTGGGGACTCCAGAACAGTGGCAGGGGCGACATTACCCAGGAGCTGTAGCAAGTCACAATAAAGACAACGTTAAGGATCTTTTTGTCAAAGTGGGATAATTCACAAAAGGCTGTTAAGACCCAACTCCCCCTAGATGGACTGTTCAGGCACTGCTTTTCCTCCACAACACAAATCACTGGGAATGCTGGACTTCTAGGGCTTTTCCCAACATGAACTTGAGAATCAAATAAATAGAAATATATATTATTACTACTTTTAAGATAAAGATATTAGAGGAAAAGGGAAAAAGACAAATTTTCAAAATATTATGAAAAGGTGAATACCAAGAATTAGCTTTTCTTAGCCAGCAGGGTGTTTCTGAAGTTGCTATCTATAAGGACTTCAGTCCAGAGCCTAACTGGAAGACTGGCACACAAGAAAAATCAGTGTGTTAAAAAGTGTTCTCTGTCCCTATTCCTGAAGGATTTTGAAACCTACTTTTCTAAATCAAGAGGGTTTCCCCCACATGAAACAACAAGCTCATACAGACTTGCACCTTCCTCTCACCCCAAGCCACGTGCATTATGAAACACATCCAATTTTTTCTAAAACTTCTGGAACTTGCTTCCCCTGCCCTTTGATAATTATTCATAGAAGCTAAGAGCAAGGAAGGCAGGTCAGGTTGTGCAAAACATTCCCTGGAGCAACTGCCACACATCAACCACACAAGCCACAGCTATCTTAGATCTGAAAATTCGAGACACACCACTATGGGCCAACACAGACTCTTTTAGAACAACATTCCCATTTTCCACCAATTTTCACATCAGACCTTTTAATGCAGCACTGTGCAGCTTGAGACAGTGAATGCCTGTAGCAATGGCAGCAGAAGCTGGCAGCCCTTTAAAGAGGTTCAACATGGCACAGAGATGACCAGGGAGCTTCTGCACCTCACAGCAACACAGTGGCCCTGACCTGGAAGGATTTCCTTGTGACTGGAGAAGTGAGACCTCTGGGCTGTGCCTTGAGATTGGAGAAGGGAGCTCAGCTCTGGGCTCTGCCTCTCCTGTGCAACCGACTCCCAGCGGCGCCAAGCAGTGCCAGCTCCAACCATGGTTTTTATGATGTGGGAACAAGACAGCAAGCAACTAATTTAGCCCAGACTAAACAGCCTTTAGATGAGGATGGCTGCCACTAAAAGCTCATCCATGTTTGATGCATAAACACAACCCTAAAAGGTTCTTGTAGCTCTCCGTCCTTCTCCTGAGAAGCCCAAGCACGTGTTGCTCTCCTCATGATATTATAATGTGGGCCAAAGTTAATCACAACACCAGAACTCACTGAGTTTAATTTCTGAAAGTTAAACATACGTGAATTTGCTCTGCACACGAGCCCAACGCCTTTGTATGAACCCACTCCTGTGATTCAAGTTTGGTTTCCAGAGCAAAGCAAGTGCAAGGTTCCAAAAACTGCCTCTCTGCAGGGAGTATGTCATTAACAACACCCACCTAGGAGTGGCTCAGCTTATTTGCAGCTCATCCTCAGAGTTTCACCCTAACAGGAAACAGATTTCGTGTAGCTGTGAGGAGCAGCAGCTCTGTGACCTCTCCTTTCAGTCTCCAAGGATTCAAGACACGTCTGCCACATTGTCTGCAGAACAGTACGAGTCTCTTCTCACGTTGTCGACACATTTCAAGTATGATCAACTGCAAATTTCTGTTCCAAAGAGGATTTGCTTTAGTTTAGATAATTTTCCCCTACACAAATAAATACAGAGTAAAGCTATTATGTCACCAGCTCCTTTTAACAGGAAGCACAAAAGCTAAACAAAACTGAGTTTCCTCATCTTGGACTATCATTTATCAATGGCTGGATACCTCCAAAATCACTGGGGTGACCACATTTCAACTGAAGGAAAATCTCAACCAGGCTCAGATTCTCATGTGTGTGTAGATCCGACATGCTGGAGCCCCGTTCTGGAAACAGCATGCCATAAATCAGGGATCAGCTGTCAGCAGTACAGTGCATCACCTACATTAAGGGATTTCCAAGATGTAAAAAGAATGTAACTACTTAAATCAAAAAGACAAACAATATAAACCAACATAACACAATGCAAAGAACAGCACAGAGACTTGAAAAAAGTCACTTCAAAATTGTCAAATGTAAATCCCAAGGTCAGTTAGCAGCTTTCACAGACTCTTAACCATGCAAGAGAAACCCATCGCCATCTCAGTTACATGCATTTGACCCCAGTTAAGTGGAACAAAAGTGACAAGAACTGGATGAACTAACAAGTGCCTCCACTCTCAGAACACTCCCTTTTATTGTCAGGTTTCTGTTCACGGCAGTTGTGGAGTCTTTTTCAATAAAGCAGCAGGTAACAGAGATTACCACACGATCCAGATGCAAATATCGGATGGACTCGTTATAGGAACAACTACAGGGTTTTGTCTCTCAGCCATGGGCAATGTCTGTCTCTGGTGTGCAGGAAGAGCAGCCCTAGGATGTAAGCTTCGAGTAGCTTGGGGGAGAAAACCTTCTCCTCAGGTACTTGAGGACGTAGAGGGGAAGGCAGCTCACCAGAGTGATGACGGTGACCTTCCACAAGAATGACAAAGTTGCAATGAAGTAAACATCTGTGTGAGGAAAAGAGCACAAAGTCAGCCAAGACGGGAAGTTCATTCTGGGAAGAGGTGCAGAAAAGGATCTACCAACACTTATTTCTGCCTGTGGTAGAAGGTTGGAACTAGATAATCTTTAACATTCCTTCCAACCCAGGGCATTCTGATTTTTCTCAAAAATGCCTCACCTCCACACTCAAGTTCAAAGCTCATACGATACCTGGTTCCTCACTCTCCTGCCCTTGTTTTCCACAAAAGATGCAGAAACATGAAGTGCAGAGGGTGCAAAGGGCTGAAAGGGATGTGACTCCTCACGGGTAACTGCCCTCACATACTCCACCTGAAACAGGCCCATCCATCTCCTGGCAGTGCTAAGGACTCCTTGTCTGGGAGCTGCCCTCTGCTACTTGGCTGGTAGCCCAGCAAACACATCTCTTGACTCAGAATACCTCAGAATCTCTGCAAAAATAGTCAAAGCCTCGTTCAAAATGGAGGTGGTATAACCAAATCCAAGAGAGGCAAATCCAGCCCATTGGGAAGTTATGCTGGCTGCCTTCCCGAGTTAGGGAAGAGCTTTACGGAAGAAGTAGTGACATCTTGTGGTTCCTGAAGGAACACTGGAACAAGCTCTGTGGGTATGATATTTGCAACTAGACAGTTATTGGGAGAATCTGGAATTCCTCACCTTTTTTCCTCTAGCCAGGGAAAAGGATCAGCTCTGTTTCAGACAACTAAAAAATCAACAACAACCAAACCCATAAGAGAAGGGCCCCAGTGAACAGATTAAAGAAGGTACATTTTTAGGAGGCAGCTTTTTCACACAGTTTAAAAGACTAAATCTTTCAATCCAACAGCAGAGGCTTCAATCTGTAACCTCAAGTTCAGTTCCCAAATGGAAATAAAGATCACTGGTACATGAGACAGCTGATATGTGGTGGAGCTCAAAGGATGGATGAGATTTGCTGGGCAGCAGTCTGCTGACCACCTTTACCTCCCCTAGCATTTTGCTATGGAAAGGAACCATACAATGTCTTCCAAGTGCCTTCAAATCACACAGAACTTACTGTAGTCAAATCACACAGAACTTATTGTACCTATTTGTTGGCTCCATCAACAACCTGTTGCTCAATTCAGCTCTTCACAGTTCTGTTCCTACCCAGACCATGAACTGAGCAGAGGGAAGCCATTAAGCTTACCAATAAACTCGTGTAAGAAGACCAGGGAAGCTATGTAGCAGGAGAGACTGAGCAGCTCAGCCACTATCATGAGCCAGTGCCACGTCTGGATCGTCAGGGCCACCATCAGTAACTCGGTGAGAATCAAGGACGTGAAGGAAATGGCAACAATGTGGACAAACTCGGATTCAAAGAGGAGCAGTGCTCCATACATGATGATGCTACCTGCAAGGGAAGGGAACATTTCAGGATTTGAGTCGAACACCAGGCTAAGCTCTAAACCCCACTGTTAGCTCTTGGAAACGCTGAAACATAATCATATCTTGAGAGTGTTTTTCATGAAACCTGATGAATGTAATGACAACAAATCAGTTACTATTTAGGAGAAAGAACTGATGAGAAGACAGGGAAAAGTTACAGCAGAGGTACCAAAACTTTTATGTCAGTCTCTCATATTCATAGACATATGTAGATAGGAAATTAATACACTCTGCTTTGGCAGCTGGAGATCTCTAACATCAGGAAATTCTATCCTCCCAGAAAAGCAGTTGGTCACTACTCAGAAGCTAAAATATATCAAATTCTTCTAAAACCTACTGCATTGCCTCAGTGCCAAGATGTAAGCTAGGTGCTGAAAAGCTCACTGGATACAAGTGAGCCTCTCTTTGCGCTGCTCGGACCAAGATCTCTCCCCTTTACACTTCCCCCCCAAAAGGAGCACACATGAAAGCTCTGTTAATGAGGCATTGTTCGTGCTCCCATTCTGGAACACTCACAGCCCTGCATGGCCACCTGCACAAATAACTCATGTTAGCAGCATGAGTAATCCACACCAACATCCATCACACGGGGAAGGGAAAACCTGCAAGTGACTAGAGCTCGAGCCACAAAGTTCAAATCCAGCTGTGAACTTTCCAAAATTTAGGACTGCTCAAGTTTTTGGTCAGGCTCATCTCTGCTAGCAACCAGCTCAATTGTTTGGCCTGCTGTTTTCTGGTTATCGAGCACTTCACAAGTGAAGTCACTTTAACCAAACACTGTAACCAGATAGTGGTCTTAGCTCAAGGAGGAATCTTTCCCTCCATGCATCACCCTCTGGCTTTAGCTGTCCACCACTTGTGACTGTTCTATCAATGCCGTAGCTTTGCCACTGTTATTCAGCACCAGGAGACCATGATCCCTGTTGAGGGACTGCACTGTGATAGATTTCAGAAAATAAAGCCAACAGCGATTTTATATTCTTGGATTCACTCCCTGTTGAGGAGGACAATATCAATTAAAGCCATAACAATTATCTGCTTATTTTGACCCATTGTTCTGACTTCTGCTGAGAAAGGAGTTTTTGAAAACAAGAAATATTGCCATTTTAGCTTTTAGCTCCATGTTATTGACATGTTTTCCACAATTCCCTGATTGACACTTTTAGAAAGTATTTGAGTTTGAGGTTACTTTACAAAAAAAAAAGACAAAATTAAAGAAAATACTTTCTTAGACATATACCCCCATTACTACACTCACTTTTGGAAAATGCATGCACTTTAATTAAGGCATTTACTTAACTGCTTTAGCAGCCTAACTAGAGTGGATGGGATATGATCAAGAACCTGAGCTCTACTCTAACCCTTCAGTATAGATGGTTGTGAAGCAACCAGAACTATTGCCACTTCCATTAAACAGGTCTTGAGTAAAATCAGAAGCTACAAATGCTGTATTTTGCATGTTGTCAATAACCTGCAAAATCTCTAGATTTGACAAAATCTATGGAATTGAGTTTTTTCAAAAGAAGGGGAGAGCCATAAGCTCTACTTTACAGCAGGAGCAATGACAGCACTGAAAGGAACTTGCACAAAATTGCAAAGGATGGTGGTTCCAATGATGGTTTGAACTTCTACATCTCTGTCTAGAACAGGATTGACAAACTGCTGCCAATATTAGATTTTAGATAATTTCTTCCTTTAGTAACACTACCGACACTTTCTGAGACAAAAAAAAAAAAAAATTCATTATCACAAGGATATTTGTGAAATTCACTTCATGCCTTACTTAACTTCCTGCAATACCAACAATTAGATATTCAGACACATTAAAGGCACAAGCAGAAATTAATTTCTTACCTTGATAGATGCTTATTAAGACCCATATTAAAAATGTTTTGTATGACAACGGTCGTCCCTGGGGGGGAAAAGAAGACAAAGTTCCACTGGGGTTTTCTTTTATGAACAGTCACTTACAGATCAACTCAGAAATTAATAAAACAGAATTTGAAGATGATTTGGGGGGAAAATAAATAAATAAAACAAATCAACCAGCCTTGAGTTACTCTCTCTTTATTCTCCTTTTCGCGGGTGCACGAAGGAGACCTGGGACTATGGAAGCTCAACTGCTCACACAGCACAGCCCCATCCTCACTGCACACACAGTTAATTCAGTGCAAAGATGTCTCAGGAGTTTAGTCACTGTACTGTGAAATATAAGATGTGTGTACAGACATATATGTGAATATATTGATATTATTTTTCTAGACACACACAAATCACCATCATATTGAAGGCAGATAGGTTTTAAAAAAAGCATCTCCAGCCAACACAGCTATACCAGTACAAAAAACCCCTATGTTTAGACCAGGCCTAAGGATGGCTGAAGAATTAGTGGTTTATGACATAAGAGACAACATACAAGTGAAACCAGATGGAGACTTATTGAGGCTGCTGGAAAAACAGGCTTTGCTTCTGAGAGTATCTGTTTAACAGAAATCCTTGAGGGAAAGGATCTGCTGAAGACTCAGTCCACCCTTTCCTTCAATTAAGAAAGATGTTCCCAGGCTGCATACCCCAGTTATTCAGAACATTTTCCAGGGAGGAAGAATGAAAAATAAAAAGGAACCTAAGACAAGGTTTACCTGCCTGATATTTCTATGGTAAACATCAAATGAACTTTTCTTTGTCTAAGGAGAAGGACACGACTGATGCTAAAGCTACAAAAATGGCACAGCAAGCAAAGTTTTAAGTGCCTTTAGATCATCCTCAGGTAAATTTCTATGGAGGAACCTCTATAGAGACCCCCCCCTCCATCAAATGAGCATATCCCTTCCTCTCATTCCTTTTTCTGGCTTCAGGATAGCTCCAAATCCCTGACAGTTTCTCTTTTCCCTTTATTTTGGAAGAAAGTGGTAATATTAAATCCTTAGAATTTCCCACAGAATGGAACTTCTACTTCCCCAGCCGTTTTTAATAAATTGCATTTCATGTAGCATTCAATAAGTATCTGCCAGGAAATCTGGTTCTATCTATTAATTCAAATTTGCCTTTAAAACAATTTTGCTTGAAAATGCCCGATGAAGTTCTGGATCTCTTGACAATATATTTGACTTTACACATTTAGAGAGTTTCAAATCAAGATGGGGACCTTGCCTTAAGCCAAAACAGACAAACAAGAGTCTCCCCCACCTTAAGTAGATCTTTGTAGAGCTCTGGGTACAACATTGCAACTTCAGATTTAACATCCTTGTCCAGGACAAGAGAAAACACTGGAAACATTGTGTAAATTGTGGAGTACCTGGGAAGAAGGTAGAAGACAAGTAAATTATCTCAGGTGTAGATGAGCAAACAAAAATGCCAGTCTTTAGGTGCCAAATTATGTAGACATTATAAAAACTTGCAAAGGGAACACACCAGAGTTTTGCATGTAGGGCAAAGCTGCAGGATTGGCTTTTTGAGTGACTTTTGATCAGGAACACTCACACAGGTAATTGCTTCAAGTGATGCAACTGGTGTTACTGGGTTATTAATGGAGGCAAGGACAGACCTGTCCCCACCCCAAAACCTGCTCTGTTCAGGTTTGATTCTGTTTGCCTCAGAAGCCAAACATGATGAATTTGCCTTTTTTTTTTTTTTTTTTAATTAAGTACTCAGAAGTATAAAAAGTCATACTGGGATTACACCTGCAACCCCATATTTTAGACAGAAACTGTCTCCTCCTGCTGAAGAGGTTGGGTTGTCCCTCTTTCTGACACTGTCAGGAGCTGGACCCTGGCTCTCACTGCTGTGCAGGCACCACACCATAACAACTGTCCCTCTGCATTCTACTGGGATCCAGGGAACAGATCCCGGAGAATGGGTTGCTTCACATGTTCCAAATGTGACAAACCACCTTTTAGAAAGGTTTCTACAAATGTCTGCACTGCATTTGCTCAGAGCAGAGGAGCAGAGAGGGGACAAGGATCACATCCATCTCCTGGAGTGGTGCAGTGAAACACAGAGTGAAGAGGGACAATGTTAATTAGCCCAAATCTACTCATTGTGCACAGGTTTCCTTGCTATTAGCAAAAAAGTGAACTCTTACCCAATGATGAGGAAGCCTTGGTAGAGAGGAACTGAAGCAAAGTAAAATACTGATGAGAAAACAGCCTAGAAAAGAAATGAGATTTTTAAGTACTAAGATATTGCAGTAAAAGTATGTTCAAACTGGAACATACTTGCAGTGGGTTCTCCAAATTCCTGAAAGGAAGACAGACTAATGTAATGTCAACCCTTTTTATTCCTAGGCAAATCTTGGATGGAAGTTATATTTAACAGCAAACACTGGAGAGCTGTTCTAGAAACCTTTTTGTAATGTAATTCCACAGAAAAGAACATAAAGAGTTTCCTCCAAAGTCCAGTGGTTCAATCAAAGCCATCCAGATGCTGTGAAGGACAGGTGGATCCTTATTTATGCCTGGATGATACTTTCCCAATGTAAAAAAGGGTGAACACTCATTAATACAAAACTCCAAAGAATTCAAGATTTATTTTTTTTTTGGCAGAAGTTACAGGTTTGTTTTATGTTCTTTTTTTTTTTAGCTAGACTGTCCTCTGAGTTTGAACTTTCTGTCTCTGTGCATCCCTCTCCAATGCGTTTATCCTAAAAAGGGAAGAGGGCAGAACCAGCTTTCTCCAACATATCAAGTAATTCACTCAAAAAAATACTTAAGAATTTTTAAGGAATGTTAGAATTTTTAAGGAATGTATCAGTGCACTGTGGTGTGGAAATAGCACCTTCCAAAGAGTAACTTCTGTCCTTAACTGTACCTTTCACTCAAGTTACCACAGCTAAGAACAGAATTTGGCTCATAAACTCTTTAAAATCTCTTTCAACTCTCCCTGCCAACTGGCAATCGCATTTTTGTTGCAGTGAGGCTCTGCACAGGTGTGAATTCCAAATCAAAACTAAGGCCTTCAAACAGTGAGAGACCAAAGTTAAAACAGACCTGGAAAACAAGTGCACTTACTCAGCAGAAGCCTTGAAAGCATTTCCCTGCTTCTGATTTTGAGCATTTCCAAGCACTACCAAACAACAGCGATGACACTCTGCACACACCAGTGTTTTCTAAGGTAGAATATTGTTTGTCCAGTTTTGGAGAAGTTGCTGATATTTGTCCAACACTAGGAACTTTCTCATGTGTTTTCATACCAAAGTAACAATCTAAGTTCCAACTCATGAAAATTTTCAGGACAAATACGTCCATCCAAAATGAAACACACCGGACCTTTACTTTAGGATTTGGCTTTTTTCATCCCTTCTTTGGAAAAGCCCTCATGGCAGTCCATTCACCTGCATTGTGCTGATGCACAGACTCCTGTGGATCACAAACTGACTGAGGGCTGCAGACCTCTTGTAGCTGTTCCTTCCGTGCACCATCAGCAAACGACCCAGATGTTTAAACTGAGTGATGGAGAAATCGGCTGCGAGTGATGCCTGCTTTCCTTCCTGTGAACAACAGCAAGTAAAAGCACAGTGAGATCATTTCATTACTGGAAACACAGCAATACTGTATTATTATTTAGTTATTGACAGAATTTCCAAGAATATTTGCAATACATTAGGTGAGGGAGAGTATTACCTCAGCACTTCTGCCTTCCACCGTGGTTTTTAAGCGAAAAGCAAAACTATTAGAATTCCCATTTGAACCTTGGCCTCCAATTTTAAGCAACCCTCTGGATTATGACTCACAACATGTATGTTAACGTGACACTGATATCGAGTTAGTTCTGAACACAAATTTTCAGTCTCAAAAGTTCACTCAGTGTGAATGTTTTGGCTCACTGCAGAGTCTGTCACTGCCGCCAAATCCTGTCCCGTCGCTCCAGGCAGCTCCACGTGCGGGAGCCAGACTTCTAACCCAGAGTTTGTATCCTAAACAGGTTTTAATTGTATGTGTAGGGTATATGCTAGCAGTGTAATTATAACTACAGCACTTGGAGTATCTAAGCATGATTAAAAACCCAAAAAGTAACCATGGTGGCCCAAATGCAGGGATTCTGCCAAGAACCAAATAATGAATTTGAACTCCCTTACACAGTAGTCTCCTTTACAGCCAAATTATTTTTCATGGTAAGGCTATTGTTCTGATGATTATTCTTGTGGGAGCTTGTGCACTTTCTTGCACAGATTTCTGAGGATTCATTTAAGAGTTACTTGCAAACCAGCCATAGGAATTCTTATTAAACATGAGGTAATCTCACCTTTCCTTCAACTCCAACCCCACAGTCAGCCTCCTGAATCATGCTAACATCATTCCCTCCATCACCTGCAGGACAGAGCACAAACAACATTGGGAGTTAAGCAACAAGGGCAACTTGCAATCCCACCAAAGGCATCTGCACCAGACCATATTATTACAAGAAACATTGAACCCTATCCACAAAAGCAGGACTTTAAATAAAAATCAGGAATTTCAGTTCTTAATTGTTTTAACAGACCCACAGGTCACTGATCAATTAATCTAACTTGTAGGTGTACCATTATACCTACAGTGCTGAAATAAAGCTCACAGATTAACAGTGGCACTTTACCTGGTCAAATTCAAGCTCTGTTTTACAAAGATACCACAAGAAATATTCATGAGTAGTCAGTCATTGAAGTTTCCATATGAAAAACTTCATCTTCGCAATCATCCCACAAAAACACTGCTCCCTAAACCAGCATTTCCAGGTGATATGAGATGACATGGGACTATTCACTCAAAAGAATCACAGAATATGCTGAGTCGGAAGGGATCCACAATGATCATCGAGTCCAGTCCCTTCATGATCCCTCAGCCCTGCACAGGACCATCCCCAAGAGTCACACCATGTGCCTGAGAGGATCATCCAAATGCTCCTTGAGCTCTGGCAGCCTCGGGGCTGTGCCCACTGCCCTGAGGAGTCTGTTCAGTGCCCAACCACCCTCTGGGGGAAGATCCTTTTTCTAATATCCACCCTAAATCTCCCCTGACAACGCCATGCCATTCCCTGGGGTCCTGTCCCCGGTCCCCACAGAGCAGAGCTCAGTGCCTGCCCCTTCTCTTCCCCTCCCAAGGAAGTTGGAACTGCAATGAGGTCTCCCCTCAGTCTCCTCTTCTCCAGCTGAACACACCAAGTGCCCTCAGCTGCTCCTCATAAGGCCCCAAGGCCCTTCCCATCTCCGTTGTGCTCCTCTGGACACACTCTAATGGCTTCATATCTTCCTTATATTGCAGTGCCCGAAACTGCGACAATATTCAAGGTGAGGCCGCACCAAGAAATAGCAGACACCATCCTACATGGCCAGTGCTCCCAAACCAGTCCCTTACCTACTGCACAGGTGAGTTTTCCAGTCCTCTCCTGGAGCAGCCGCACGATCTGGGCCTTCTGTGTCGGGGCGCAGCGGCAGCACACGACGGCGGGGCACTGGCAGGCCAGCTCCATGAACTCGTACTCGTAGTACTTCAGACACACCTAATTTAGAGACCAGAGGCGTCACTGATGGCTGTGCAGGAAGGTTTCCTCCAGCCACAGAGCTCTGGGGCTGTTCCTGGTTCGGAGCCTACCTCCAGGGAGTCCCCCGAGATCACGAGGGCGCAGTCGTGTTTCCTGCGGAAGGCGTTCAGCTCCAGGTGGGCTTCCCCACGGTTGGTCACCTGGGGAAAAGGATGGGAACTGGGGAAGGTTTGCCTCATTGGGGTGAAAAAAAACAAAAAGTCTCGGAGGGAGCAAAAGTAACATGGACAGGACAGGCAGCACACCGAGGGAGTCAGAGCACACCATCAGAGAAACAAAAACTCGGGGGATAGAAAGCCGGGTCAAAAGAATAAAAACATCCTGCTGGAAAACAGTTGTGATCTCAGCATTCCTCCTGTCCCAAACTCAGGCCCCAAACAAGTCTTGTGAGAGGGGTACACAGGTGTTACTCACTAGTCTGAATATATGGATGTCCTGTGTCCGTGTCACCAAATGTGCATTCTTGGCTGTACACGTGGCTGTCTCTAACTTATCCCCTGTCAGCATCCACACCTAAAACCCAAATATTTAATGCATTAGATACAAACTGAACAACCACGTCTGCAGGACATCTACAAGTACCACTTGCCAATTCAGGCATATGAAAGGACTGTTTAAATACACATACAAATTATTCTCCTAAAAAACCCCTATCTTAAAACACACAAGAAAATTCTCACACATGAAAGAAAGCAAAGCTTTTAAAGAGGCTGAACCGCAAAGGAAGTTACAAACTACATATAACATTTTTCCCACCTGCAATATTTCAAGATTCTGCTGATAAACCCACAAAATACAAGCTAAAAAAATGTGTATGTGTGTGTTAACGTGTCCCTCCCCAGCCATTTCTTGAGCGGGCCCTGCTGCAGAAAGACCTCTCCTGGCCCTGCCTGAAATGTGGATGATGCAACTGGGATTAGCTCACTGCTGATGTGTATGGCTGGAACACACTAAGTTACTTGAGGTTTGGGGCTTTTTTAGTTTTTTTGGTTTTTTTTTTTAAATATACACTGCTCCTTTTATTTTGTGTTGGTGAAGGGGGGGAATTAGAATGCAATGTCATCAGCAATACCATGTTATAATCTGGCTGGGAATTCCTTCAACAGTGTAAACGTATCAATTTGTTTTGGTTTTTTTCAACTAGTTTTTAACCTTTCAAGACACTGCTCAATAATATTTAATGAGAAAAAAAACTTCAAGAAAAAAAAAACCAAAATAAAAAACACACAAAGACTTGCTTATTATAATTTGAGGTTGGAAAGAGATCTGATCTTAACAAGATGGTCCCTGTCATGAATTGCAAGACCTCCCTCACTCTTGATTTATTTCTCGCGTGCAAGGCCCTGATGAACATTCCAGTGCAAGGAGTGCTCAGCAGTGCTGTGCTCACGGTGTGATGACACATGTTCCACACCCCAACAGCCACAGTGAGGAAAGGAAAACACTTTGGAATGACGGTCCAGGACTACACTGGGGGGGGGATAAACCCACAGTGTCACTAAGGAACTCTGTCCAATTCCTCTGGTCTCACTCCTCTGCTGAAGTCCCTGCTGTTTACAGGGATGGCTCCAAACAGACAGCACTTTTGTAAGTCTGTCCCAAGCCTTGAATTCCACTTCCTACCTAAATCCCAAACACACAGCCCTGCTTTTGATTCACAGCATGGCTCGAGATTTTTTGTTCACTTTGCTACTTAAAGCAGAGAAACCCCAACCAGAACCTACTTTTCTTGCCCAAATCTGAATGTTTAATCCTTTTTTTTCCCCCCTCTTGTAGTCTGGGATCTGACTGATAAGTTTTCAGAGAGAGAAACTAGATAGGCAGCACAGCAGCTCCCTCACCACTGAGCATAGCTCAGGCTCCAGGTGTCTGAGATGCCAGAGCTCAGAAAGCTGGGGAAAAAAATCCAATCCTTGATTCTCTTGGCTCAGACTCCCCTCTAGTGGCTACTGAAAACGTGGATATTCACAGCTCCAACCCCAGCACCACAGACCAAACACATCCAAACCTGCCTTTTTTCATGCGACTACCTGAAAGAAGGAATTGCCCAAAAGTCTCCTGTAGTTCCCCATCCTCCTGCCTTCACATTCCCTGTCTGTGCAGGAGGAGCCAGAGCGTGTTAGGGGAAGAAAAGCACAAGAGGTGGCACGCTTTCATGTGTTCAGGCAACATTTACTACTTCCAGCATGTTCTGTTCCCAAAGTGATGTTTAAAACATATCACCCAGCCCCATCACAAAGGGCATCTGGTGAAGTGTTCACCTTGACAGGGCCCCCAGACTCCCTTTATTTACCATCTGTAGGACAGTGCCATGTCCTCCAGAGGGTCTAAGCATTCCTGCTATCAGGAACACTGGGTTAGGCAGACCTTAATGCCAGCATTTCTCAGCGTCTCCAGCGTGGGTCTGACATCGGCCTGCAGCTGATCCTCCACCCCGGTGAGACACAGCAGCTCCATCTCCATCTCCAGGCTCTCGATGACCGTGGCCACCTTCAGGGATCGGTCGTGCACGCTCAGCTTCGCCTGGATGTACCGGGCCTGAGGGCAGAGCAGGCACAGCCACAGTCGGCCTCTGCTTTTGTGGCAAACTGGGCTAACCAGCATGAGGGTCAACCACTGAACCTCCCTCTGATAACAGGCATTCAACCTGGTCTAGGGAGAGGTGTCCCTGCCCATGGCAGGGTGCTGGAATGAGATGGTCTTTAAGGTCCCTTCCAACCCAGGCCATTCTATGATGCAGAGATGCCACCTGTGAGGGCTGGTGAACACGAGGTGTGTGTTACAGCATAAGGTGGGAAATACTTCAGGGTGTTGTTACCATTTTGTCCCCGTGTTCCTTCAGGTGCACAGCATGGCCTTGAGCACACAAAGGCACAGCAGCTGCTGGAGTGGCACCTGCAGAAATCCTGGAAGCAACTCCCTCACACCACAGGTCTAACCAAGGTTCTGCAACTAACGCATCTACAAACGATGGCAACTGAGAATCCCAAGCATTTCCACTATCACATCTCTGCATTTAAATAAACAGTTCTCCTTTACATTCTCCTGCCTGGAGTAAGCAAGTCAAGTGCTGTGTATAGAGATCTAGCAAACCCATGCATGAAGCCTGTGTTTCCATGAAGCCTGAATGGGTTATATTCAGGCTGTCAGTAATTCCCCTGGATGTCAGAATACAAAAATGGAAATTAAAAGCCAACACATTTCCCAATACAAACACTACTTGTTTAACAAATTATTAACGATTGCAGAATTTATAACCACAAGAGATTAGAAGGCAGGATTCAGGAACTGCTTTGGAGGGTCCTGGCTGGGATCCAAGTTTTACACATATCACTTAAAAAGCAACTTTGATTAAAAGAACATCAAGACATTGACGAATGACAATTCTAGCAGAAGCAGGAGGGAGATGAGAGGCAGCATTATCAGGAGAGCTCTGTGAGAATCACTTCAGTGATTGTTTAAAAACACAGGGAAAAAAAAAAACCAAATAAAAACTTACTTCAAAGTCCTGATACTGCTCTTCTGTCAGAGACTTCTTGGCTACAACAAGAACCCTCAGGCCTTCCCGAGCCATGTTACCACACTGGAAAGAAGGATCACATTGTAAACCAGAAACTCCACCTCCAGTAAGATGATTTATGCACAGCAATGTGGAGATGCCAATGTAAGATAGCAGGTTAAGAAAATAACCATCCCATTTGAGCAACTCGAGTGAGTCTATAATGTCTGATAAAGTGCATGATAAACCCGAGAAAAAAAAGGAGATTTGCAATGGTTTGTAACCTATGCCAGTGATCAGAAAGAAAAATGTCCTCTCTGCTATACCAGGGTGGCAAAAACAATCCCATTGATTTAATTGTCTCTGTCTCTTAAGTAAAAGGACAAAAGCCTGTGATTTGCAGACTTCACATCTTTGGCCATCAACTCTTTTAAAATAAGACCAAGTTATTATTATTTCTGTGAACACCAGAAAATCAGCAATTGAAGCTACCATTAGGATGCCCCATCCCTGGAAGTGCTCAAGGCCAGGTTGGATGGGGCTTGGAGCAACCTGGTCTAATGGAAGGTGTCCCTGCCCATGGCAGGGGGTTGGAATGACATGGGCTTTAAGGTCTCTTCCAACCCAAACCATTCTGTGATTCTATGAACTTTGTGCTACCATTACTACTAACCCGACAAACATGTCCCAGTACCAAGATGCCAAATGTAGTTTTGAAATTAGACCTTTCAGTCTAAAATAGATCCAAACACAGAATCAAGTCCAAGATAAATTCAGTGAGTGTCGATGACTTTTTGAGCTAAACCCATTTTATTTACAGGACTTATTCTGCACTAAATATGCTGAACTTGCCACTTGACTTCCTTGTTATTACATATATATTTGGCTGAAGGTTAATCCAATGAATTGCCAAGATCAGTGACCTTCTGGCTTACAGATATTTTCGCAGGCTTTGTCAGGTGTTTTTCTGGAAGGAGAAAAACCCCCGCATGAGGAACCCCCCAAGCACAGGAGGGACAGCCCTGTACCTCCTCTTCCAGCCAGTCGTTGTACTGCACAATTCCAGCCATCACCACATCTGCCCCCTTCATATAGAAGGTGATCTCTCCTGTAGATTCATCCTGCAGATGAGAAACAGAACAGTCTAAGCTGGGCCAGTACTGGCACATTTGGAGGGGCCTCAGCAAGTTAATGATGAGTTCTCAGCACAACAGTCACAGAAATGTCTGTACTGGGTCAGGCTGGAGGTCCACCTGGCTCAGCATCTTGTCTAGGGGCTAAAAGGAGATGCTTATTCAATTCCAACTCAGTTACTTGCAGCAGGAATTAACGTTTAGACAAGGAGGATCAGGTTTTTAATCAGCCACACGGAATCTCCACACAGACACCTCTCAATCCTGACTGTGTGTGCCCTCAGAATAACCTCTAGCCCTCACCTTGAAAATGTATTTCATGCTCACCTGAAACAATAAAAACAGATGCATGAAGCTTAACAGAGCAAAAATCACTCTAATTTACCCCCTCTGTTACATTACATGGTATAAGCAAAATTAAAGCTTCTGCTTGCCACAGAAAGGTCAGGTTGGTGCCTGCCTTATCTGATACAAGCAATTTATAGGCTGCAAGCAATGCATATTTACATTACCACAAATTAAAAAATCCCTTCTAACCAGGCAGATACCTAAGGAGGCCACAGGCATTAGTATTACAAGCTAATGGAAACGCTGGCAATTTCCTCAAAGGAGACAAAACAATGAGTAAGGAACAAACTGCTCTGTAAACCAAGATAGCTACCAGGGATAGGAAGAAAACAAAGTGAACACGCAAAACCAAAAAGCCCAGAAAGGTCTGCAATAGACAGATGTGAATGAAGGGGGCAAAGTACTTCAGAAAAAAAAGAAATGAAAGGAAAGAATAGCAGACACTTCAATCTCTCACTAATAGATGGGTCAGTTTGTTCCATCATTACAGAAACTAGTGGTGGAGGTGTTCATACATGAATAGTTTGAGTCAGCAAATAAAAGCCTCATGTCCTGTGGCAAAATAGAGTTTATATCCACAGGGAAAAAATAAAAGCAGCACCCGATGTGGAAACTAAACCTGCAAAGAAAAGAAGTATCTTTGCTGGGCAAATTAAGAAGTAGCCAAGGATAACGAAACTTCTTTACTGACCATTTTTGCCAAGCTCACAGAGATAGTCACAAGGAAGATTCTTATAATTAATCCTAACCATGGTTTTCAAGGTCCTGAAACATCCAGCCTTCATATACCGACAGACACACATCCCACATCCCCAGAGGAAAAGGTGTCACTCTACCAAAACAAGTAGAATCTGCTTAAATAAAACACAACGCTTTTGGCAGTAGCCAAAGGCAAAGGTTTATCTATGAAATTATTTGATTAAAGAGTGTCTAACAACATCTCTGTAGGAAACTGAATAAAGACTCCACTTCCCGTGCTGCAGAACTGGCTTAGGATAGTTTAGATTTTTTGTCCAATATAAATACTGTATCAGCTATCTCCTTGCATTAGTCATTTCCTCTCCCTGAGTTCAGTAGGAGGTTAGTGCGTTCTCATATTATGGCAAGATCACACTATAAATCTACTCAGAGATTTGCCAGTTATATTGTTTTGGAGAAGCATCTTTTTCCACCGTGGTCTGACTCTGGCCACAGTTCAAAGGCTTCTTTCAATTCCAGATATGACAATAGCACTATCTTTGCTGTACAACAAAGATCATTCCACAGGGGTAAGGGGAAAAAATTGCAAAGAAAAAGAAGAATGGAAAATATTGTGGTCAAACAAAACAGGCCTTCTTCAAAGAGGAAGATAAGTCAGTGCACAGAATGGTGAAGAAGCTGCTTGAGTTAAACAGGACTTCTTAGAACTGAAATAATCAGGTACAGAAATGACAGTTGATCACAAGGAAACAAGTAGATATTGAAAAAATACCCCAAACCAGGCAACATCTGCTACTTGCTTTCAATATTAACTATTACTCTATTTACTAATTGTTATATGTTGAAGGGGATCTTTTCACAGGAGCCAGAGCAGACGGGATGCACAGGGGAGACGGGTGCCTGCCAGGGACTGCAGGAACAGCATTGCTGGGCAGGGCACAGGAATCACTTGCTGAAACTCCATCCCCAGGTTGTACAGGAAGCCTGGCAATGTGATCACAAGGGCTCTCAACAGTCAAAAAACCTGCAGCTTATAAGAATGGGCAATACCTGCATAGCTGAGCAGAAAACTTTACCATTTGGATTCTCCTCACTACAATGGTGAGTGCAGCTTCATTTCCCTTCCTGCCTCATCACTCTGTGTTTTTTCTTCTGGATACTTCAGCTACTTTCCCTCCACTTATTTTTGTTTTTTAAACAAGTAGCAGAGTTTTAGAAGATACACTGAAGAGGTAAACACTTTGAAAGTTGTGGATCAAAACCAAATGAGCACCTAAACATGCACACATATAAGTTTAAACAAAGTAAATTTTACTTGATAACTACTTATAAATTATTTTTTTTAAATGAAAGCGAAAACCCTGATTGAAAATCTTATTTTGGAATACACAGGAACATGGCAAAGTAATACCCAGGCAGCCAATATCTGCTATTCAACCCTAACTCTGCACAAGGTAGAGAGGGAACTGATTTTAGTGGCTTAGAACAGCTGAATAGCTACAAAATAAAGACACTCAATTAACAAGCACAACAGAGAGAGAACAATGCTTCTTTAAAAGTATTTACAGTCAGGATCTGGGCCTGATGTTGCCCCCACTGACCACAAGTGGAAGTTTTGCTGTTTTTGCCAGCAGAAATATCCCAAATACAGAAATACAAACTGGAGAATTTCTTCCTAATGGGGGAGAAGGTGGACAATAGCTAATTTAAAAGGAATAAGCTTCAAATCCAAAAGGAAAAAAAAAGAGGACTGTCTTCCACTTAGATGCCAAAATTTCAGGCAGAGGAAATTTTTACAACCTGTTTCCAGATACTCCAAATAAACACAGTGTAACCCAGTTTTACCGCAAAGTGAATAGGAGAGGGAAAAAATTAAAAAAAAAAAAATAAAATAAAAAAAAAACCCCACACTATTCTCCTCATCCTAAATAAGAAAGCTGCAGAGCCCACGGATTGATACCAAAAAATCCAGTCTTGCCCTGGATTATAGGTTTCATATTCATGTTTTAGATTCCTGGTACCAATTATCTGTCTGTACTCTCAGTAAAAAAAATAACAAGGATGTTTTAATTATCTCCAAAAGAAATATTCAGATTGCTTCAACTTGTTTGCTCCACAGGCAAACAGCAGTACCTTAACACAGTGGGGTTTATCTTACTAACATAGTGCTAGAGAGTCAATATTAAAAACTAGCAATGATAATGGTGACAACTCTTTTTAGACACACTTTGTCGTTGTTCTTTCTTTTTAAAGTATTTTTTTTCTCTGAGGCTCTGATCTTATACTAGATTTTATCTAAAGCCACAGTCATGTATGATTTCAGCTGGGCACGTATTCAGTGTGTGCAGTGCCTGCTGCTGATCGAGGTACTTGCACAGCTGCTCCCTTTCACCTTAACTCAGCTATTTCCAAGCCCTGCTGGTGACACTGTGTGCTCAGCCTGGCTGTGGGTTCTGTCCAAGAGCTCACACTGAAAATCATCTCCACAGCTCCCTGCAGCTCCAAGTGCTTCCTCCAGTGGTGCTGTACTTCCACAGGCTCTCAGAGGACTTTTCATGGCTGGCAGGGATCTGGGGAGCAGATTCACAAAACCACTAACAATATCTTAAAGTTGTTGTGGCATCAGTCGAGAATCCCCTCCCTCCTTCCCACCTGCTGCCTTCTCCATCATTCCTTGTTGTACCCCACAGTGCTCTGGAGATGCAGTGTAAGCTGGACCCGTGATCCTGCTTGGCTCCTGGCTGACCCTGAGGGGGGAAGGCACTTGTGACCAGGGTCCATTCACAGCCCCAGTCCATCCCACAACCCTCTCAGCTCTGCCAGCACGACAGTGGCACAGACATAGATGTTTGATGTGTTTCCCTTCATGTTTTGCCCAGTGACAGTGCGGAGCCTCCCTCACCAGAGATATTCCAGAACCATCTGAACACAATCCCATGCCATTTGCTCTGGGATAACCCTGTTTGAGCAGGGAGGTTGGACCAGATGCCCCCCTGTGGTCCCTTCCAGCCTGACCCATCCTGTGATTCTGTGACTGACAGGAGATCCCGCAGGACACGGAGCTCACCCGGACGATGATGCCCATGCGCTTGCTCTCGTAGGTGAAGGGGAAGATCTGGAGGATGGTGAAGTTCAGGATGTGGCCGCCCGGGGTCCTCAGCTGCACGGAGGACTGGTCTCTGCCCACCAGCGTCAAGCCCACGCTTTCGGTCCACTGTACCAGGGCCACCTGAGGGGAGGAGGACACGGTGAGGGCACCCAGAGCCCACCATGAGGGGAAGGGATAGTGGGGGGTGGTGCAGAGAATTCATTAGTCATTAATGGTGCTATCAAACAGATCTGTTGATAAATACAGGTGCTCCTCTATGCCTCTTCCTAGTGGTTTTCCATGATTTAGAAGCTTACTAACAGTATTTTCGTGGTTTGGGCAGCCCAGCTCCTGTCTGGTTCAGCTGCCAGGCTGTCCTAGACCCTCAGCAAGAGGTGATCACCCTTCGACTGCCATGTTCAATTGGACATGAGGAGGAATTCCTTCATGGAAAGGATGGTCAGGCATTGGAAGGGGCTGCCCAGGGAGGTGCTGGAGTGCCCATCCCTGGAGGTGTCCAAGGAATGACTGGACGTGGCACTCAGTGCTCTGGGCTGGGTGACAAGGTGGGGATCGGGCACAGGTTGGACTCCATGGTCTGGGAGGTCTTTTCCAACCTAAATGATTTTGGGATTCTGTTCCAAAAGAACAAGGGCAGGCACAGGGACCCTCTGCCAAGCCCTGTGGTACCCAAACCTCCTTGGGCACATTTGGTAAATCCCTTTACAAACACTTGCTTTTTGAAAGTGCTATGTCCCAGCTTGCTGTTTATGAACTCAGGAATTCAAACCAATGAATTCACCCTGGATTTAAAATATCAAAGCTAGAAACACTAATGTAGCCCATTAAAAATTCATATTCAAAAAGCAAGCAAACAAAATGAGCTCTGTTATTATCTATCTGTTCAGTAGTAACAGTTCATCAACACCTTTCAAGCTCTGTAGTGATCAGCAAGGCAGCTGAAGGCAGGCTCAGACACTTCTTAGCAGAGCCCTTCTCCCTAAACATTAAAAATACTGAAAACCAAAACCAAACAAACAGAAAAAAAAACCTAAATCAACCCCAGATTTTTCAAGGCACACACCAGAAGTCATTTAACTGAACTTAGGTGGGCATCATTTTGATTGCAGCTTCCAGTATTTAAGGACCTACAGCACTGAATTCTTTACTAGCTTTCACTAGACTGCAGCTGAGTCAGGACAGAAGACCAAAGCCTTTATTTTGCTTCCCTGACAATCCCCCCAGAATCCCCACCTCAGCTGACACATCCATCTAAGACTGAGCTTGCTGAGACTTAACTCTAGAAGCTGTCTGGGCAGTAACAGATGGGAGCAGCAGCTGACACGAGCCCATATATCACTGGCCTCCAGAAAGGATCAAGGGATACTTTCTCCAAACAGACATGAAATACTGGAAGTGTTTTACAGTGACATTTTCAAAGGCAGGAGAGCACTGGGGACATGGTTGCTGCTGACTTGAAGATTAATTATACCTTATGCCTTTCAGCTTCTGCCTTTAAGTGACCACAAATGCCTTGGAAAAAAATGAAATTTATTTTGGGAAATCACAAACGTGAGACACAAATAAAAGTGGAACCTGTAAATTCTTATATTGGGTCTAGATCTTGTTAAAAGAATTGACCCAGTTGGGTCTAATTGGAGAATCTTTTGTGAACTCAGATCCCTTTCATTCAAAATTAGGCATAAAAGAAAACTTAGAATAAACTTTTGGTTTCATAAAGTAGTCTTAAATTGTCAGATTAAAATAAAACTCAAAAAGTGGTTGAGTTGGCTTTGCCTTGAAAGACCTTTAAGTCAATTTGAATCAATATTTGGTTTAATATTAGCAAGTTTTTGCAGGCTTACTCAAAGATTACAAATCAAAGGCTCTTTCAAGCTTATCTTTGAAAAAGTCTCTTCAAGCCATCCTCAGTGCATTAAAGTGTGCAGTTAGATAATCCTCCTAACAGTCTCCCAGAGCAGAGATGGAGCTTGGGTTTCTAATACTTTGGTTAATAAATAATTATTGAGAATTGCTCACAACACAGTGTTATGTGATGTTCAGCCTCAGCAGCACTGGCTGTTGATTTGTCCATGTGGGTAAGCTGCAAATGCCTGGAGACACAAATCTCTGCTCCCAGTTCAGCACCTCCTTTTTACAGACACCTCCTCCCTCCTTCCCTGCCAGCATCTCATTTAAATCCTACATCAGGAAGCTTTAAACCTCCAGAAAGAAAAGTCTTGTACAGAGGACCAAATGCATGAGCAGTCAGACTTGCTACGTCATGCACAGGACACATTTCAAACTAATTGACTGCAGAGCACCAGGAACTGGGGATGGCCCTGAAACGGTACCTCAATGGGAGGGGAAGAAGAATAAAAGAAATCCCCTTTTTCCATGCTGCTCCTGAGCAGGTGTGGGTCCTGTCTCACCTCCAGGTGAACCACGGGGCCGGGGGTTGACTCCATGAACATGCCACTTCCCAGGCTCTACAGTACTTAATGAATAACTACTGAGAGAGACAGTGATGTCATTTTGAAGTGTTCCCATCAGATGTACTAAAAGCATTGACATTACTGTCTCCACTCAACAGGGAATACAATGGGCCTGGCCTTTAGGAAGTGCAGTGGCACCAGTGGAAAAAACAATGGCAACAGAAGCACCGACAGCTCTTCTGGCAGAGCCCAGGCACCTGGGACAGGGAGCATGTCCTGGCTCCATGTGAGACAGAGGAGGTTTATTCTGTGTTGTACAAACAGATAACTAGAGGTGCTCTCAAGCCACAGTGAAAAGATGAAAAACATCCAACATGCAAAAATACGGTAAGAGCTTAGACTGAGATTTTAAAAGAGGCTTGAAGGCCCTCAAACACCTCCACCAAACATGCTCACTGAGGAGGGAAATCAATAAAGTGACCACACACCAGGACTTTCCAGCTCCATCCAGGCCAAGCCCGATACTGATCTGAGCATTACAAAGCAGAGCAGCTCCAGCAGCTCAGCACACCATCCCCAAACTTTGCTCTTTCCGACAATTAAATTACCCAAGCCACCACTGAAGTGGATATCGACTAATAAATTTCATTCTAAAGAGACAAATTGATCCTTGCGTGCCATGAGCTGCTCTGCAGAGCCCCATTTAGGGCTGCCTGGGCAGGCAGACAGCAGGCAGAGACCAATTGATCCGTGCACCCTTTCATGTCCTGGCAGCTGTGGAGGGTTGTCAGGGTTAAAGACTGTTTGCCCAGGAATCTCAGGCACTCTTATCTCTGATCAGATTATATCTATTTCATTTCCCCTGTTAGTTACTGTATGGTCACAACTGACAACTGGCTCGCAGAGCCCCAAGGCTGTAACCGATATCTGAATAAAGATACTTCAAGACTTCTAAATGGCAGCGTGCACAGGAAACAAATTTAGGAAATCCTGCTTTCTGTTACAGGAAATGAATCCTGTGCCAACTGGTAGAAATTACCCTTGCTGTTAAAGTAAAGAGAATACAAGTTTTTGTACTCATTTCATAAACTGACCTTCCCTGCCATGGCAATATTTTATTGATATAAGATTTCAAAGGCTGGCTTTAACAGGAGTCCAAAGCCATTCCCCCACAGGGAATGTTATTTAACAGCATTGCTCCCTTCTGAAGGACTCCATTTGTGTTGATCCTGCGTTTTGTACCATCTAGTATGACACACAGAGCATGGCTAAACAATATTTGTATATCTAAGACCTACAGACAATATTTCCTCAGTGCAGCAAAGCATATCTGATTTCTGAACCCACTGTAATTCTCTACTTAAGATATCACAAGAAAGGAAAAAAGAATTTAAACAATAATCTTGGAAGGATTAGTTATCATGCTGTAGTAAAACAAACAAACAATATCCCCTGGGCATTTCAGACAAATTGCTGCATAAATATTTTAAAGACAGAACAGTGTAAGGAGAAAAAGGAAAAGAAAAATCACTGACTTCACTATATACCACAGTATATATGTAAACAAACAGAGAATCTGTGCAAAAAAAGCCAGTAAATGCTTTAGGGGGAAAAAAAAAAACCAACTTAAATGCAGATCACAAAAATTACCATCTGGAAATCATTCAGAACTCATTTCAATCCAAAGGCAGTTGCTTTCTGTAAGCTGCTTTTACAGGGGAGAGCAACACATTACAGAGGAGAAAAGCAGGTAAACAAACCTCTGCCGTAGACTGTGTGTGGGAGAGGATGAGAGGACACCCACACCCTGCTCAGGGAGGAGGAAATGCTGGTTGGCACTGTGGGCACATCCATGGAGGAGGGGGAAAGAGCAGAGATGCAGCTTTTGTACAGTGAAGAGAAAAACACACTGTATGAAACGAATTAATTACCTTGCTTTGGAAGAAAAACACTATAGGGAAGAGTTTGAATGCATATGAAACATGGAAACTAACTCTGTGTGCCAGTCTTTCAGTAATTCATACAATCCCAAAATCCTCACACAGCTGGGCTTCTAACAAATAAATGTATTTCCATGCAAACCATTTCTCCTCCTCTAACAATGAGGAGAGCCAGTTTCTCTTCTGATGTCAGAGGTGAAAAGCTTATTATCAGAGGCAAAGTTGGTTTATTTGGGGCAATAAATGGAAGAACCCTTCAAATGTAGTCAGAGGGGTGATATGTTCTCATAGTATCAGTGGGATTCTCAGGGGAAGTGTCAAACTTCAGTCTCTTTCCATAGCACAGAGCAAGTGTAGTTATACAAATTAACAGAAAACAAAGTGATTAATCTTGGTTGCACCAAAAGATATATCCAAGAAGTGTAACCAATAGCAAAACCGTATTTTATTCCTCCTATCTTTGTCACAGAAGGAAACAACACTATAATTAAATTTTCCAAATTTTGCAGACTTTTGTAAACACTTTAATTGAAGGTCCTGTATTGAACCTGATCTCTCAAGTGTCCAGTTAAAGTTCCCAGTGAGTGTTTGGAGAGCTGTAAAGTTTTTCCCCCTTGTACCACCCTGCATAGCTCTGGTTGTGCTGGGGGCTGGCAGAGACCTGGCAGGACACAGCTTTGCTCCAAAACAAACTTGTGCACTTCACTCTTGAGCACTGGGCCTGTCCATCTGCATGGGAAGGGATGTGTCCTGGGTCAGCAGTGCTGCCCAGCGTGATTTACAACTTTTCACTTGGTCTGGAAGTTCAAACACCTCACAGAGCAGGGACAAGCTGAACTCTGTGAGTATTCTAACCCCCTCCCACAAGTTTCCTCCCCAAACAAGATAAAACTGCCCATAATTCACCAAACACAGTCAAAGGGACTCATGGTGTTGAAGTGCAAAATATACCCTGGACAAAAGCTGCAGAAACAGGAGCAAAAATTCTGTGATGATGCAACAGATCCCAGTCACCATGTGGATCTGTAGCTTCAGGCAGAGAGACAGAACAGCTGAGAGGGCACTTATGGTGTATCCATGGGTTATCAGAGCAATAAACGCATTAAAATATTATCCCCTCCACTAAACTGGAGCACTGCCTCCAAATAACCGTGTTTTTTTCCCAGCAACAAGCACAGGGATACAAAAGTCTCACATTAATACTTTTATCCACCCCAGTGGGTACTGACCTCATCAGGACTGGAGGCCTGGTACACCCTGCAGGAGTCCTCGTAGTGTCTCTCAGCCTCTGCCTGGTCGGTGACCCCGTTGGACTCGTACACGGGGGTCACGTTGTGGCACAGGGCGATGGCCTTCACCGCCTCGTGCACGCGGCTGCTCATCGTCTTACGCACCTTCGTGGCCAAGGTGAGGCCCTTCACTGCAGGGGGGTCCTGGGATTGCTTATAAACAAAGAAAGGAGAATTACTGTGAGGAAAAAAACAAATTAAATGAAGTCTTTACTTCAGTGAAGACCATATATGAGGCAGCTGTGCACAATGTCCCCAGAAATGAGGCACACTCGACACAGAACTTAACTCAGGCCATCACTGGAACACCCCAGGCCAATCCAGCTCCTTTATCATTGCTACTGGTACAGTAAAATGCCCCCAAAGTTTTACCTAAGTTTTTGGAATAGTACACCAGGAAAACAAACCTTCTGTTGCAGAGCCACCAGACACCAAATGGTGATTGAGCAAAGGCAGAAGACTCAGTGAAACCACTTTTTGTTCCACAAAAGACTGGTGTGGCTTGGAAAATTTAGACTCACTTGGGTTTCACGTGCAAGAGAATACAATTGGTGAAAACAGAAAACAGATGACTTGTATGGAGCTAGAAAATCTTAATTACATTCATTTAATTTTTAATACTATTTTTAGTATCAGAATGGGAGTCTTCAGATAATTGCACAATTACTAAATTATCCTGGTTGAAGAAGGGACACACAGTGATCCAGTTTCCTGCTCTGTTAACCTTTAGTGTCAAGAGGACAAAAGTTTCACTTCCAGGTCAAAGGCCACAACGTGGTAAAAATAAGAGCAAAGAATAAGAACTACAGTTCAAAATGAATCATTGCCAGCAAATGCTCCTCATTATAAGGAATCTCACTTGGTAATTATACAAGTTTTACGAGACATATTCTTTACCAGGGTAATTCCATGTGTTATTTTCCACACTAGTGATTAGGATACGAGATCTTCAAATTTAATATTGCTGCTCATCAGCACTGCTGCCAAAATCAAACAGCAAACCCTCAGCTGAAGTGCATTCAGTCACTAGTCACACACTGGAATAATCAGTCACCCAAATGTTCTTGACAAATATTGAATACTTTGGCAAATAATTAACTAGTAGTCGAGTTTTCTCTAGAGACTGAGTACAGCATTGAGGACAAACAGAATTGAGTTTGGGGGTTTCTGCTGGATTTCTTTTTTTTTTTTTAGTGCAGTTCAGTCATTTAAGGGTCTCAACACCTAGAGAAGAACGAGATGCTAAGAACAAGAAGAGAAAGAGAGAGAGATGCCTAGATATCTAAATAAATGTCTGTTATTTTACACTCAGACCCCAGTAACAAGCACATAAACCCTCTTACACTTGCGTGTGCTGGGGCATTTAAACACTGAGGACATGGAAGTACCTACTGATGCAGCAAGCAATCGTGATGTTATTTATACACTGAGCATCCAGTGACCTTCAGACTTTTCTAAAAAGTAACAGTCATTAACAGATCTCTGCCATTATAATTCATCATTAGCCCAGTGACCTGGTAAACTTTTGTGAATGAAGAGTTAATTGATGCAGTTCAGTTCTACCTGGGTGTATATGCTGAATATGTGGCTCTGCACTTCATCCATGGAGTCCAGCCCGTACGCCACCGTCCCCAGGTGGAGTCGCTTGAAGACCATCTCGTTCTGTGTCAGAGTTCCTGCAACAAAAGCAGCACCAGACATGGAGTGGGAACCAACACACCTCTTTTCCAGCACTCCTTCTTGTCCTTGTGCCTCAAATTCAAGATAAACTGGGCCAGAAGCTGAACCAGTCACTGCACCAGACTCTCAGCACAGGCCGGGGCTGGCAAAAAAGACAATTATTTGCCTATTTGTCAACCTGAAGGCTGATTCTCCTGGGAAGTAGTGGTGCATAAATAAGAAAGAGATTCACCCCACAGTCAGTGCCAGCAGGAGCTGCAAGCATAATTCTGATCCCATTGGAACAAAAAAACCCTGGAAACAACTTCAATGGGACCAGGATTTTATGTCAGACCAAGCTTTTCATTACAGCTTCCAGAATCAAGCCCAACTTCAAAAGTGTAAAGACAGCAGCAAACAGGCTAATGATATGTTTCTGCCTACCTATCCAAGCTATCTTTATCTGGCTTTGAAAACTAGCTCTAAAAAGTTGATTTTAATTTTATTTTTACCCTCAGCTTTTGTTTTAATAGCATGCTTTAAGTGTTCTTTGAAGTAGCGTAACATTCCTGTCCTATCTTACCTATAGTGCCTTCAGAACAAAAAAAAAAAAAGCAGAACTTTTTTTCAAAAACTGATTAAATCATAACGTCAAAGTGACAGGAAATGCATATTTCTTCTAGTCCAAAAAAAACTTACATTATACTCTCTGCCTGGCCAAAAATGTAACAAAATCCCAACAACAACATTCCATGACTTTCTACAGATACCTGTTTTGTCTGTAAGCAAATAGGATATCCTGCCCAATTGCTCAGGAATAGTGCTGGATCGAACCACAGTGCCGGGGATTTTGGAATCTCTGCGGATCACCCAGCTGTAGACAATTTTCCCCATGTCCAGGTTCACACGTAAACTGTGCAGGAGGGAGGGGGAAAAGAATAAAAAAAAAAAAGATATCACCAGTTAAACTTCAGAAAAAATCCTTGTGAACTGCCACAGTGCAATGAAAGGACACACAGTCCACCCTGACTTTGAGCTGCTAAAGAGGGTGTTTCTGGAGGAGTATATTCAAAGCGAGTGGTGGGGTGGCAAAGGTAATTACACTGTAATTCAAAGACAGATGATAAAATTACAATGAGAAGAACAGATATGATTTGAGGGGAAGACGGACACAGAGTAAGGACAGTGTGATTGATCCACAGAGAGCAGATTAAAAATGGAACTGAAATGAATCCCAGTCCTGCACCCAATGTAATTTACTAATCCACTTCCTAATCCAGTACAATTCAATATTAAAGTTTCATTCCCCTCTAAAAGACAATTGTGTTCCATTACACTACAGGCTGTATAAATAACCCTCCTTTTCTGTTTTTTTTGCTCTGTTCTTATCAAAGTAACCAGGTAGTCCAAACACAGAGAAGGGCCCTTAAATGACTAATCCACAGCCCGAGTCAGTGAATGGGTTAATAAGTTTGAACAAAGTCAGCAGAAACAACAAAGCAATTCTTATGTTTGAACAGTAACTTGATTTCTATTTCTAGATTTGCTTAGCTGTAAAATGAGGGGTAGATAAGAGTTTACGTGCTTGTTCATGGTAGAAGCATGGAGGGGGACACAAAGCAAGCAGTATTTTGCTGGGAAGCACTAACAATTGCTGCCTTACCTAATGGGAATGATGTTTGAGAACAGGAGGAGAAATCTTATGATCTGAAGATACCAACGGCCTGCAAAGTGCTGGAGGGCCACCATGACCAGGGAGACCACCACGAGAGCCCCAAACAGGATCTTGGTAAGACAGTTCACTTCCAAATCAAAAAGACCAATCTAAAAAAATGAGAGAGAGACATTTCAAGCACACAAATGAAGATGTGAGCTCAATGTAATATTCACAAAGGAAATGAACCACCATATCCAGAGAGACATTCCCCACTAGTTGGCTTCTCTTTTAAAACACTACAAACACATTTAAATTTATAAGCAATACTCTTGCCAGCTTATTAAATAAGATTTCCATCCTTTAGAAGCCAAGCAGCGCATGAAGAGGTGTGAGAGGACACTCTATAAACATCCCTGAACTGTGTCTTAGCTTTGCTATAATAGAATAATGCAGAAAAATGAGCTTTTCTATTCTGACTGAGACTGTCTCATTATAAACATATAAAAGAATGGTTTAGCCAACCTTAAAAAAGTGAGAAGACACATGTATAATAGGATCAAAAAAATAAGGTGAAATAGGTTCTGTTATGGCAACTATCTTGAATCACAGGCTGGGAAACATCAATTATTCCCAGGAGGTTGTCCCTATAGTGTGTACATATAGCATTTGGAAGGATCTTCCTTAAAAAAAATGATCAATTTCTGACCCTTTTATTTATTATAAGACTGTTTCTTCACCATACCTTACTTCTTGGGTTTGAAGTATTCATCACACTGCGCAGCTCCCTTCCAGTGTAGAGGACAACTCCCACCACAGTACCTAAACAAACAAATGTTTTCTCTATAAAAACACTTGCTGGATGTCAGGTGGAAAGGATTTTTAGCAGGTTAATTTCAGTAGCAACCAGAAATTTAAAAAGCTGGTATCAATATGACACTTAGGAAAACACGGACTGGAACAGAAAACACCCTCCAAGTCAGTAAGACTTCAATCACACTGCATCAACTCATGTACATGGAAAGAGCAGTCAGCTTTGCTCTCTCTCAGCCTTCCCTGACCCCCTTTTGCTGTCAGTTGTCTCTCCATACTATAAATAAAAGTTGGTGGGGATGGAAGACCTCTTGGATTTCCTCCCACCACTTGGAATCCCACTTTGGTGTTGCCTTACACCAGGTCCTTCACTGTGTGTCAAAATTCAATCAGTGCTCTGGGCTAAGGTTATTTATTGGTAAAAGTTGATACAATCAGAGTAAACCCAATGAATTACAACAGCTTTCAAAGACAGAATTATCTTATTTTAAAATCTAAATTTACTTTAAGTTGTCTAATTACTGCTCCTACCATAAAGTGAATCATACCAACTCCTACCTTACTGTAACAGATGGAGCTGCTGGAAGGCCATCAGTGTATTTTAATGCTCTGTCCTACAGTTGCTAAAGAGCTGAGAGCAACAAAGTTCTCTGTTTTCTTCTTGCAGAAACATAATACAGTTTAGTACCATAAATTACTGGGTTTCTCCAGGTTTTCTCCTTAAGACTTTGCAAAAATTCATAAAGAAAAAGCTGTGTACCATCAAGAGTTTAAAAGCTGCTATTGTCAAGGTCTAATCTTTTTTTACCATAAAATTTTACTCCATAAAAAATGGAGAAAAGCAACTCTAAAATACACCACTACTGCAAACACATTTCTACTTCATACTCTACTATTCCCCTGCTCTCATTAATAATCAAAGTTTTAATAGGCTGTGAGTGAATTATTTTTAAATAAGACCGATTCAAAAGAGGTGGTTTCTAAAAATATGCTGAGAAACATTCCTTTAAAAAAATACCTCCAAAAACAACAACAAATCCCTGGAGCCAGATGGCAGGTGGTGGTAAGATCATCAGAATTCAAATCAGCAGATGGCACAGCTACTCCAAATCCACCTCAAACAGTCAGAGTCAGACCCATCCCTACTACAGCAGATGGAGAAGCCACATAGCTCTGCTCAGTCTTTCAAGCAAGGGCTGCCCCAGTGAGATGGCACCACAACTCGGCAGCTTTCACTCATAGAAGAAGAAAAATAATACCCACGTTTTTTTTCCTAACAGAAATAACCTACAACGTGCTATTTATTATTGCCATAGGAGAAACAAAACTGAGTATTATGTTGATAAGTGAGTCAAAACGAGAGGAAACACCTGCCAGGACTAGAAAAAGTTTGAAGGCACACTGATACGGGTAAAAAGGGTTTCTGGTTGGTTTATGGCCACTTAAAACAGACTCAGCTGCATAAACCCTTTGAAATGATATTTGCAAATTCACTGTCAAGTCTCTCCATTTGACAACTTCAATTCCAAAACTGGACCTCAGGATTCCACTCTCCTTCAGCTACAGCCCCACAAGCTTCACAAACACACCGGACAGGAGAGGAACAAGGCTTTTACTTTGACAAGCCTCTACAAGAGGGCATTGATTAATCTCAGGCCTTGGGAGCTTATCGTGGATATAAGTCAAAATCTGCCAAAGACTTTATTTTTTTCCTTTTTAAAAGTATATAGGACGAACTCAATGGAAGCACTTACCTGGAAATCTTTCATCTTAGCTTCTGTTACCAGAATCTATTTGACACCATTTCTGTTACAGATTAGGATGTCAATGTGGAGAGCAATTAAGTGCTATTCTGGCCCTACATGCTAAAGAAGTGCCCCAAAGGCCACTCCAATTCTTTCTCATCTAGGAATGTCCAAGAGGCAATTAGATGTCAGCTCAGGTCCCCAGAGGTGTTAGGACAAGTGGGAAACCTCATTCCAACTGCTAATTTCTCCAACTGACAGAGATTATTATTCCATTACAAAAATACCTTTAAAAATTGTTAACATATTGCCTTCAAAACAATTTTACACGTGTCTCCATCTTACCTGATGCAATCACTGTGCTGGCCCACAGGGTGTTTTCTATGCTCAAACTTTCATTTACTGGAGGGTCACTGTCCTCCTGCAATGGGATGAAAAGAAACAAAATTGTCAGTAATGTAAAAGAGCAGAGTCACACAGAGGTGTTTGCAGAGGGATGTTGGGAGAGTTGGTAGAGGGATTCTTGACAGGACAGAGGACTTTCATAAACCCTGGTAAATCTCTGGGTTAAAAACATGACCACTTTATTTCAGTGGGGATCTGTTAAGACACTTCTGCCTGGTAGAGGTCTCTGGGAATCAAAAATGAGCAAGGGATTTGTCGGCAGTTCTCCAGAGAAATGTATCCTCCCTGGGCTTATGTGGCATTTCTCCTGCTGCTGTAAGACCTCACTGAGAATCTGTTTGGGCAACAACTTTTAAAAGGCTCTACCTGTCTCCTATTTGTCACAAACCCATTTGCCCTCTGAAAGCTCCCCCAAGGGTATTGGATGAATCTCTCAAAATTGTCATTGTCCCCCTGAGAGGAGAAAAAAAAAAACAACAAATCGACCTTTTGCCCCAATAATGCACCTTCCCAACAAGTCAGAAGAGATATGTTTTTAGTGGTGACATTTCTCAGTGGCTCAGTGCTGTTGCTCCCTGATATAACTGAGTTCACATACACTGCATTCAATTGAAGGCAAAAACCCAACCGACTCATATTTAAGACTGTAATTCCTGACCCAGCTAAGATCCCCTTTTTTTTCCCCACAATTAAAGGATTTTAATCCTACAGAGTCCATGGTGGTCCAGATTTTCTTCTGAACAGCCACAATGAATATCTAAGTACCAATCTTGTCCAAGTGTTCATGTCTCATACCTTCAGGTGAAGTCCTTAAAACCAAAGAGCCTCTGGCATTGTCTCCAAGTCAAAGTTTCGATTTTTATTTCATGGATTTTACGAAGAAAGAAAAGAAAAAATAGAAAGAAATGGCAAGACAACTCCACTATTTCTCCTGAAAAACCCTGGCACTCTGGTAGCATTCAGCAGTTTGCACAGCAAACACTACAGGTTTGATTTCAAGGATATGTCAGTGAGACTCACCCTTGTGAAGGTCCCCACAAAGTTGTGGATGTCAATATTGGGCTCCTCTGCATACACATAGGATCGGATTTGCAGCAGGTCCTACAAAACAGACACGTTTTGGCAGACAGACAACCACATTTTAATAATGTACAAGTGTGTCTACCAGAATACTTGAGCAAGAGTTACTTATCAAGTTAAGGCAATCACTAAATCTTGTTACTTACTGCAGCCCAAGTGTCTGAGAGAACATACAGTTGGTGTACCAGCTCCTCTGAGGAGTATTTCTTGGAAGGATACCCGAAAGACTCCTGGGACTTACTCAGATCTCTGTGCCCCAGAAAAGAAATTTCAGCCTGAATAATCAAGGCAGCCTAAGACACTTCTTACCTCATAGCAATGAAGGTTTGGTCTTCTGAGACAACCAAGGCACACCCTGTCACTCAATATTTAGTGTCACTAGGACAGTTCTGGGGTGGCAAGAAGATAAAGCCAATTCTGCACAGGGTTTTCACTGCTGACTCCTACACAGGTGTGAACTGTTCACTCCACGGAAAGAAAGCCTTGCTTCAAAGGCTTTGTACAGAATAAACTTCTTGCACTTTTTACAGATAGAACATCAATAAAGCAGGTGCTCTGATTTCCCCTGCCTTTTACTTGTTTTCATAAAAAACAAGCAAACAAAAAACCCCCACCAACAAACAGCACATAAACTGCTTTAACTAGAGATTCTGGGAAATAATCATGTTTGGTGGAGGTTTTATGCTTATTTTAGATCATACAGCAGAGCTTCCATGGTGACACCTCCCCTTTCATAAGGGTGGGCAATGAAAACTGAGCGGCCTCTGAAGCCATTTCAGAGGGCAACAAGACCTGTCCTGCACTGAGCGGCAACAATGGTCTCTGGAAAGGAAAAAGAAAACAGGAACATCCTACCATGAGCCACCTGAAGCTGCTGACCCCAGAGCCTTCCTGCAGAGTTTGTGGTGAGAGCCCTGTGGCTCAGGGGCACCCAGCCTCCCCTTACCTGACACTTCACCTGGAGCTCAGGACGAGCTGCTTTGCACTTGTACTTTTGGTTGCCGAAGCTAATCTGTCACACGCCCCGAGCAGAATGATGCCCTTGGGTGCCCGTGGACTGAGGCACCCGAAGGCTTTTCAGGTAAAACATGCCCAGGTTTACCAAGGAGAGGTTTGCAGCAGGAGCTTACAGAAGCAGTCGGCAGCCTCTGGGTGCAGGTGACAGGCAGGCGCAGCTTCCAGTCTGTCTCCCCATCCAGCTGGTCGGTGCGCAGGAAGCAGGACCCTGTGGGTTTTCAACAGCAGTCAGTGCTCCTTCCAGCTCTGTCTTAGCTACATCTCTAGATAACTCATGAACTGGCTCCATATCTAAGATATTCATGTCCTTCTTTCTTTGGAAACAGTATCTGATTCCAAGTAACATTTGTTAATAATGTAAGGATGATGTTCCTGCATCACACATTCATTGCCTTCCACTAGTCCAGAATACAGTGAGACACTGTATTTTTAAGACATTTAAAATGCTCTCATTAGTCTTTATACTTTCTAATCCTTCTGATCAAACATTTCCTTATCCCACACTTAACAAAACAAACCTGAACAGCAACTAAAATGATTTACATCTAAAATGAAAACTCTTATGCAACCAGATACATCTACCCCGGATTCAACTCCCCATGCTCTTTGATTAGCAAACAAAAACCAGAGTATAAACATGCCCAGAAATGGTGGTCCATAAAACTGCTTGAATTGTCTGTCTCTCTAAAATTTTACTATTATCTATCTCTTTCACATTTCCAAAAGATAATTTTCTCTAAACAACCAGTGAAAGGTTAATGGCTATTTTGACAATTGGTTCCAGATGTTTACCATTCTTCTCCGACGTCCTCAGGAAGATCATGTCAGCAGGGACCCGCTGGTTCTGGGAGGAGAAGAAAGGCCATTATTGTGCACCCAGCCCCGCGCGCGTGTGCAGCTCCTTGCACGGCCCCACCGTGACCAGCAAAGGGGAGATGGGGGAGAAACGGGATTCCTTTGTCAAGCTGAAGCTTGGGATTCATTTTGCTTTGAATCCTAAACTCGCTTCCCTTCAGAATTCCAAGTGCAGAATAATAACTGGTGCCAGCTCCTACTGCCCAGACCCCAAGGGCTTGGTTTACAAAAGGGCTGGTGAGTAATTCTAGAAGTATGAAGAAATCTTAAACTAATGCTGGTTTCCTTTCAAGAAGTCCCATGCTAGAAGAAAGGTTGTATCTGGAATCTAGAGCCACCAATTTTCTCTTTTTGTACTGAATATTTTCATACTAATGGTTTTAAAGGTCATAGCTGCTTGCACAGAGAGTGTGTGGGAAAAACATAAAATCAGTGGATAAAAAAGCCCACATATGAACTTGTATAAAGGTGGAATTATACCACTATCTACAAATGGATCACTGTGCCTGCCAATACTGTATTTACACCCAAAGCAACATTTGAATGTTGGGGTTTTAACAGCTTTTTAACCTGTATCCAACAGTCAGAGAAAGGACAGGGAGGCCCTTTTATCTTGCTGTAGTATAAGTCGAAAAATTAGGTTATAGGTGCAGGTCTACAGATTTGCAAAGATGGTGGTGTTATTGGTGGGGCAGGGGAACCCTGAAAAGTGATGAAATATGAAAAGATATATATAAAAGGCAAACCTTTTCAACAATGATGAGGTCACCGACTTGAATATTAGAGCTCTTCACCTTCACAGTCCCTGCAAAGGAAAGATATCAGTGTGTTAGAGCAGCAGCAGGACAGGGTTTCTGGGTGCTCTGTGATGCTCCTTCCCTCCCTTCCTTCCACTGCACTGTTTTGGGGCAAAAGGGTAATGTTTCCATCACAAGAATTGGCCAGAGCTGCCCTCTAAACACTTCCCAAGCACACTGAGTAAAGTGGGGGGATCTCAATCTGCCAAAAGGGCTGAAAGCCTCTAGTCTACCAGCTCCAGACTTCAGCCTCGGATGCAGAAAGCCCCGGTGACAAGTCTGAAACAACTCCTTCAACTCTATTTTTTGTACTGTTTAACTCACGAATTCAAAAATATTTTCAGTGTCAGGCAGAGAACAGAGCAAGAACAGGAAAATTACAGTAGGGAATCATCAATTCCTTTTTCTGAGGTGGCTGAAAATTTAAAGCTCCACTCTCAAGCCAAGACCTGGAAGCTGTAAGTACAATGGGTCCATCTAAAAACCAGGCTCATTTCCTCCCCTGCTGCAGCTCCAGTCTCTGGCTCTGCACTACCACCTCCCTTCTGCCTCTCCATGGATCAGCCAGAACGAGCCCTGCAGAGAACAGGTCCCACAGAAAACACGTAAATATTTATTTCTGTGCAGCTGTCAAACATTTCCCGGTTGCTTTAAAACAGGGGATTAATTTAACAATTGGCTAGTAATTTCAAATCATTAGCCAGCTCTAGATTTGGCTTCTCAGACTAAGTAGTGATTTATAATCAGTTAATTTGAACCCTGCCTCTATGTGTCTGTCTGTTATATTTCAACAAAAGCCTCTTTAATCTGCTGTGATTTGAGTGGGAGTGGGGGAGGCACGTGGAGCTCACCCCAGCACGGACAACACTCCTACTGTACCTCAAAATTCATGGGCTAAATGGCCAGATAGCAGCTCAGGGGGGAACAGGGAAGGGGGAAGGGAGAAGGGGGAATAGAAATTAGCACAAAGCACAAAGGTCAGTGGGATTTTACTACTGGCAGTCCCTTCATTAGCATCCTTCTCAGGATATGCTTCAGTGTTTCTGCTCCAAATTAACAATGAAAGCCTTTCTGGGCTCCGGGCAGCCTGCTGCTCTGGTGACACACTGTGTGCTTAACAACATGCTTCAGCACTGCTGCTAATAAACGCAGACTTCCTTACATGCTGTAATTATTCCTACAAATTATAAGCAGTCATGGCCCATTTCACAAATATCTCATAGGTCTTTCGTGGATTCTGGGGTTTGCCTCGTGAGATTTTTTTTTTTTTTTTAAATTTAAAAAAAAAAAAACAAAAAAAAAAAAAAAAAAA